TTGCAAATCCAAAAACAAGACAGGTCAAGAATAGTCCAAAATCCAAAGGCAACGTGAGTCCATAGGCAAAACTTGAGCAAGGATAATTAACATAAACATGGAAAACTCCCAGAAAACCATGACAAGAACAAGAGAACCCTTGCTGTAACTCAAAAGCCAAGTTGCCTGAACTAAAGAGCAAAGCGCTCACAGCTTCTTATATATAGACATGAAAGCATTACGAATCCCCTGGAACTTTTGCTTCCCATGGAGAAATGATGACCATCTCAGCTGGCTATCCGCTCAAGTCTACAAGCGAGCCTCCTGGCTTAGATTAGGTGTGTTCTCATGAGAATTTCTCACCAACTTGTCTTCCCTAGACTCCTTATCTGGAGAGGATGAGTCTAACTCCCATGAATGGCCTTGAAAGCCTGGTGGATCAGAGGCAATTAGATTCCCAGACCCATCTGTGCCCCTGTCTAAAGTAGTTTCACTTTCTGGCTCTGCATGAGAATGGCCTTCTACATCAGAATGAATCCCAGGGAAACACACAATTCCATCTGACTCAAAATTATCAGTGAACCAATCAGCCTGCTGTGACTTTCTACTGACCTACAACAAGAATCTTCTACCAGACATAAAGAAAGCTAGTTTAATTTGGGTATAATAAGAAATTCAATGTGCAAATTTGATAAATTTGAATTTAAAATGATGTGCGGGAGAGGCAACAGTCAGAAGCTAGGAAACTGGTATTTTTGTTATATTTTAGGGACCCTGGCCCATTTTCTTGTTGTTGTATTCCTTCAAGTCATCTCTAATTTTTCATGATCCTAAGACAAACTTATTGTAAGGTTTTTCTTTGCAAAATTTGTTCAGATCAGGATTGCCTTTGCTTCCTGTGAAGCTGAGAGTGTGTGACTTGCCTAAGATTGGTTTCCATAGCTGAGAGGGGATTTGAGCTCAGGTTACCCAATCTGGATCTATATGTGCCATATAATCCAGTTTCTGAATCCAGATGATCTGCTTTGAACTGGATTATATGAGTCTACACTGCTATTGGGGGGTGGGGTGCTTTGACTCGACAACACCCTGATGTAAATCAGCCAGATTTATTTATTTAGTTATTCTGGCGTATAAGACTACTTTTTAACCCAAGAAAATCTTCTCAAAAGTCAGGGGTCGTCTTATACGCGGGTGTAGTCTTATGCATGGGAGTCGTCTTAACTCTATATTTTAACTGGAAAAGTTGGGGGTCGTCTTATACGCGCAGTCGTCTTATATGCCGGAATATACGGTAGTTATTTATGACATTTTTGTGCTGCCCTTCTCACCCCGAAGGGGCCTCAGAGTGGCTTACAAGATATATATACATACAATATATGATATTATTAGCATAGTACAATATCAGTATTATATATTACTATATTGCACTATACCATTATATTGTAATACTAGCCATCCCCTGCCACGCGTTGCTGTGGCCCCACTCTGGTGGTCATGGGGGTTCTGTGTGGGAGGTTTGGCCCAACTGTATCGTTGGTGGGATTCAGAATGCTCTTTGATTGTAGGTGAACTATAAATCCCAGCAACTACAATTTCCAAATGTCAAGATTCTATTTTCCCCAAACTCCACCAGTTGTTATCAACCTTTCTAATGCTGAGACCCCTTAATACAGTTTTCATGTTCTGATGACCCCCAACCATAATTTTTTTTGTTGCTACTTCATAACTGTAATTTTGTTACTGTTATGAATCGGCATGTAAATATCTGATATGCAGGATGTATTTTAATTCAGTGGACCAAATTTGGCACAAATGCCTGATACGCCCAAATTTGAATACTGGTGGAGATTGATTTTATCATTTGGGAATTGTAGTGGCTGGGATTGATAGTTCACCTACAAAGAGCATTCTGAACTCCACCAACCAACACAAAATACTGGAGGGGTTTGGTAGGTACTGACCTTGAGTTTTGGAGTTGTAGTTCACCTACATCCAGAGAGCACTGTGGACTCAAACAATGATAGATCTGTACCAAACTTGGCACAAATACTCAATATGTCCTAATATGAACACTGGCACAGTTTGGGGAAAGTAGACTTAACATTCGGGAGTTGTAGTTTCTGGGATTTATAGTTCACTTACAATCAAAGAGCATTCTGAACCCCGTCAATGATAGAATTGGGCCAGACTTCCTACACAGAACCCCCATGAGTGTGTTTTCTGATTATCTTTGGCGACCCCTCTGACCCCCCCTCTTGACCCCCCCAGGTGTTCTGACCCCCAGGTTGAGAAATACTGATGTAGTCAGTCATAAGCCAGGGAAGGCTCTCCAGTAGGAGCTGGTGGGGTAGGAAGAACGACAGTATCAGAAACAGAAAGCTGCTACTCATCTCTCCACTCAGAAAACTTGCCAAAGTTAGGGAACTGTTTTTCTTTCTTTCTGTGAATTTTCTTTGTGTAGACAAGGACAAGAGACAGATACATAATTCACAGTGGGTTTTCCTAAGCAGACCACTTTGTGCCTGAGGCGAAAAATTTAAATGGCACTTCCCCACAGCTCTGAACACATACAATCTACTGGGATTTTTCCCTCATTCATGCCTCATTGAAATTGTCAGTAGGGATGGAGCTGGGGAACTCCCACTCAAGTACCCATGGTACATCTTAATATGCAAAATTAGAGGAATCTTTCTTCATTCTGGAATCTTTTTAATGTCACTTTCTAAAGCAGTGTTCCCCAACCTTCCTAATGCTGCAACCTCTTTATACCATTCCTCATATTGTAGTGACCTTCAACCATAAAATTATTTTCATTGCTACTTCACCACTGTAATTTTGCTACTGTGGTGAATTGTCATGTAAATATCTGATAGGCAGGATGTATTTTCATTCACTGGACCAGATTTGGTACAAATACTCCATACATCCAAATCTGAATACTGTTGGGGTTGGGGGGGGGGGGGGGGGGGGGGGGGGGGAGATTTTGTCATTTGGAAGTTGTAGTTGCTGGGATTTATAGTTAATATGCAATCAAAGAGCATTTTGAGCTCCATCGACGATTGAAGTGGACCAAATTTGGCACACAGAGCTCCCATGACCAACAGAAAATACTGGAAGGGTTTGGTGGAATTGACCTTGAGTTTTGGAATTGTAGTTCACCTACATCCAGGAGTAAATTGGAACAGTGCAACAAGACACACATCCAAGGTCATGTGGCCAGCTTGACTTCATGGAGTGCTGATACTTTCCTGCCAGAGCGGTACCTATTGATCTACTCACATTTGCTAGCTTGGCAGAAGCTGGGGCTAACAGCGGGAGTTTATGCCGCTCCCCTTTCGGTCAGCAAGTTCAGCAGCTCAGCGCTTTAACTCACTGTGCCACCGGGGGATCCTTATAAATGAAGTAAATAAATAAACACCCATAGTTACATAGCATTGAGGCACTGCAGTTACAGTGGTGTCAAACTGCATTTTTTTTACAATGTACATGCACCTTCTGTCCTTCTCCCTCATGAAAAAGAACTTTATAATACTCCTATGGCAGGTAACGGTTCCTTTTGTTGAACTCCAGTCCAAAGCAGGCAGAAATCTAGGCTATTATCATAATCCTCCCCAGAGAGTGAAGACTGTTTTGAATGAATGCCCTTAAGACTAAAAACGAAGTAGGGATCATGAATATTTCCAGAGGGCTCTGTTTATCTTCAAACTGGCTTCTACGAGGGTTGAATGAAAAATAACACCTCCACCTTTGTTACTTGGGTTTGGATGGGAATATTTTAATAAATCAAACGTAGAAATAATCCTTAGAATGTGCTCTTTGACTACCACTATTCTCTTTTACACATAATCACCAGACAATTGGATACATTTCTGCCAACAATGAACAAGTTTTCTGAAGCCATCATGGAAGAAGTCGACACTCTGTTTCCGCAACCAGCCTCTCACAGTTCTCTCAACATCTTCATCAGGAGCATAATGATGTCCCGCAGATCTTCTTTCATTATCAGAAACTGATGGAAAGCAGACAGTGCTAAATCTAGACTGTATGGAGGATGCCGTACGGTGGTGAAATCCAGTCTCTGAAGTTTCAAGTCTGTGTGCTTTCATTTCAGGCATCAGCATCCTGGGTACTCATTGTGCACAGATCTTCCGATAGCCAAGCAAAGCAATAATGTGACCCACACGTTCTTGTGAAATGTCAATTATGCTTGAATTTTCTCTCTGAGTGATATGACGATTGTCCTGAATCAATCTGTCAATCTTTTGCTTGTGAAACTCTGTGGTTGCTGTCACAGGACGTCCATCTCTTTGCTTGTCACGCAAGTCAGATGTTCCCACCTCAACATCTTTAAACTTACTTGCCCAATGATGCACAATACTTACATCAACACAATAATCATAAACAGTTTGCATTCTCTGATTAATCTCCTTTGGGATGACATTCTGCTGTCAAGAAATCAATGACTGCACATTGCTTAAGTCACATTGACCAACTGTCGGCGCAGGGTTCCATACTTCACACTTTAACACCACAACCGTTCAATGCTAAGGCTTCCTGTCAAAATGGAACCGTAGAGGAGAGTTTACTGAACAAGCCACTACCTGCCGCATACCAGTACTGCCATCTATTGAGGAGTTATGAAGGTGGAGGCATTACTTTTCATTCAATCTTCTTGAGATTATGCTTTATTGGGTGTTTCCTCCTGTTTGACAGCATGACCATATATATCACAGTTGACCTATCCTGCACTGCTAAAGCTAACCTGGTGCCCTCAAGCATCATGGAGGACATTATTCCACTATCAGCCTTGAAACAGAGGGTGGAAAGTTACCTTTTGGATTATAGCCCCATTGTACGGTAAAGAGACATGTTTGAGAACTCGACTACACAGGGAGGCCATGGGAAGTTGAATTTGGTGATTCTGGGGAAGTGAGTAGGCCACTGTCAAAGAGAAAGTCTAGCTTGCCCTTTGGCCCAGTGAAGCTGACGAAGGATTCCATGTATCATCCCACATCCTGTTCAGACATCATTCTCTTTGCAGATCCTCATATCAGCTCACTTAGTCCAGAGGTCAAGCTTGTGGAGGATAAACCATGTGGAGCTTTGCTGCTTCCATTTTCTGCCTCTTAATTGGTGAGTATATTTTCAGAGGCTTTCTTATGGGTTGGCACATGAATCTGGGGCCCCTGGTGCAGCATTTATGTGCATCTCAGAAAGTGTCCTCTAGGGTTAAAAAGCTTTCCTTCTTCTTGTTCCTGCCTTGCTTGCTCTTTTTTTAGCCAAGTTCACGAGGAAACTGGTGATGACTTAAATCACAGAAGGTTATGCATCTCCTTGGCAGATAAGACCTTTGTGGAAGTGTTTCACTAGAAGACTCCACATTCTCAAACCAATGGGGTGTTGGGTATTGTAGTCCAACAGCCTCTAGGGCAGTGGTTCTCAGCCTTCCCAATGCCACGACCCCTTAATACAGTTCCTCGTGTTGTGGTGACTCCCAACCATAACATTATTTTTGTTGCTACTTCACCACTGGAATTTTGCTACTGCTATGAATCATAATGTAAATATCTGATATGCAGGATGTGTTTTCATTCACTGGACCAAATTTGGCACAAATACCCCATATGCCCAGACTTGAATACAGGTGGGGTTTTGGCGGGGTGGTGGTGGGGTGGTGGTGGGGGGTGGGTTGATGTTATCATTTGGGAGTTGTAGTTGCTGGGATTTATAGTTCACCTACAATCAAAGAGCATTCTGAACTTCACCAGTGATGGAATTGAACCAAACTTGGCACACAGAACTCCCATGACCAACAGAAAATACTGGAAGGGTCTGGTGGGAATTGACCTTGAGTTTTGGTGTTGTGGTTCACCTACATCCTGTGGACTCAAACAATTATGGATCTGGATGAAACTTGGCATAAATACTCAATATGCCTAAATGTGAGCATTGCTGGAGTTTGGGGAAAACAGACCTTGATATTTGGAAATTATAGTTGCTGGGATTTATAGTTTCCCTACAAAGAGCATTCTGAACCTACCAATGATAGAATTGGGCTAAACTTCCCACACACAACCTGCATGACCAACAGAAAATACTGTTTTTTCTTATGGTCTTTGGCAACCCCTCTGACACCCCCCTTGTGACTCCCCCCAGGGGTCCTGACCCCCAAGTTGGAAAATGCTGCTCTAGGGAAACTAAAGTTGAGACTTACTGAGGGCCTTTCCACATAGCTCTATATCCCAGAATATCAAGGCAGAACATCGCACAATATCTGCTTTGAACTGGGTTATTTGAGTCCATACTCAAATAATGTGGGATTTCCTGCCTTGATATTCTGGGATATAGGGCTGTGTGGAAGGGTCCTTAGAAGGTAACAGAGTTTGAGAAGACCTTCTTTGAGACCTTGGAGAGAGAGGATCTGCCTGTCAGAGTGCTAGGCTAGAAGGTACAATGGGGTTTATATTAGTAAGCTGTTTCATGTAAATATATGTTGTTTTATGCAAATGAATGTTGTTTATGTAAATGTATACTGTTTTGTCACACCACTATTGTGTGCTTTTTGTGAGCTGGCCCAAATCCCTTCAGGGAGATGGTGACGGGGTATAAATTAAGTACTATTATTATTTGAAACACAACAAGATGAGTCCACAGCAAACAAGATCACTCTGCTGGCTGTTGTATTGGATCACACGTTGGACACTTCCCAAGTGTCTAGGACGGTGTATTATTATTATTATTATTATTATTATTATTTCATATAATAAGGCTGCTTCACAGGCATTGCCTATGATATTTTGTTGTTGTTTGCCTTCAAGTTGTTTCTGACTCATAGCAATCCTAGAATGAATCTATCATGAGGTTTTCCTGGCAGGAGAATATGGCTGCCCTAAGGTCACCCAGTGGGTTTCTATAGCTGAGCAGTGGTTTGAATCTTGGCATCTAGAGTTGTAGTTCAACATTCAAACCACTTATTCTCAAAAAACTATTAAATGACTGTATTATATATCACACAACATCACTGATGATTTTGCTTTTATTTTGTCTGCTTATTTTCTCCAGCAAGAGCTTTAAGATCTAGGAAATGCATTGTGTGTATTCCATATGCTAAGCAATGCATTAAGCTTCCACACTGTGATCATCAACTGGAAATCATCTGCCACATTATCTGGCAGTGGTGATGTGTTTAGGAATGGTATTCTTCCACTTGCATGGAGAATTGCTTGTGCTGCCATCCTGATCGAGACTGTATCTCCATGTGACAGGGTATACTTGCCGGCATCAGCTTCTCCAACATGACGGCCATCAGACTGAGGCTGCTTCTGTCATTTGTGAAACAGCCACTTAATCTGATCTGCAAGGCAGGCTGACACCTTAGATCAGCATCACTGTGTATTGGCTCAGGTCCTTTCCCTTTAGAGAAGTTCACTGCTGATCCCTGGAGCTTCCTGGGCCCATTGAGGCTGCTCCTTCCTATCAACAAGAAGGACAGTGACTCCCACGTGCTATTCTGTCCTTTGACAAGGTAGAGCAACTTGGGCCCAGAGTGAATAGGCAGTGGCAGAGCCAGGGTATACAGGGCTAAAACCTTGTGACTTTTTAATGTGCATGAATCAAGAATGTATTTTCTGTACAACAGTAACAACAACAGCACCCACAACAACAACAACATTTTACTACGGTCCATAGAACCATCAGTAAAACTAACAGTCATTATAGCTTCTCTCATCTCAGGAGAAGTCGATTGTACAACATCCATCTACATGCCAAAACTAACAAAATGAAGTTCAACAGAGACAAATGCAAGATACTCCACTTAGGCATTAAAAATGAAATGCAATGATACAGAATGGGGGACGCATGGCTCAAGAGCAGTACGTGTGAAAAAGATATTGGAGTCCTCATGGACAAGTTAAACATGAGCCAACAATGTGATGCAGCGGCAAAAAATCCAATAGGATTTTGGCCTGCATCAATAGGAGTCTAGTGTCTAGATCCAGGGAAGTCATGCTACCCCTCTGTTCTGCCTTGGTTAGACCACACCTGGAATATTGTGTCCAATTCTGGGCACCACAATTGAAGAGAGATATTGACAAGCTGGAATGTGTCCAGAGGAGGGCGACTAAAATGATCAAGGGTCTGGAGAACAAGCCCTATGAGAAAGGAGCTGGGCGTGTTTAGCCTGAAGAAGGGAAGGCTGAGAGGAAACATGATAGCCATGTATAAATATGTGAGAGGAAGTCACAGGGAGGAGGGAGCAAGCTTGTTTTCTGCTGCCCTGGAGACTAGGACACGGAACAATGGCTTCAAACTACAAGAAAGGAGGTTCCATCTGAACATTAGGAAGAACTTCCTGACTGTGAGAGCTGTTCAGCAGTGGAACTCTGCCCCGTAGTGTGGTGGAGGCTCCTTCTTTGGAAGCAGAGGCTGGATGGCCATCTGTTGGGGGTGCTTTGAATGCAAGTTTCCTGCTTCTTGGCAGGGGGTTGGACTGGATGGCTCATGAGGTCCCTTCCAACTCCATGATTCTATGATTCTATACATGGTTTCACTACTCCTATGAGAGGTTAGTTGCTTTCTCAGCCTTGTTGCCACTGCGAGGAATTTTGCCACTATGAGCATCACCCTGTGGCCAGAGGTGGCCCTAGGTAATTTTCAATGGTAAGCAAACAGTATTTTGGCCCCCCCCCCCCAACCAATCATTGATATATATTTTCTGTTCGTCGTGGGAGTTCTGTGTGTGCCATATTTGGTTCAATTCCATCATTGGTGGAGTTCAGAATGCTCTTTGATTGTAGGTGAACTATACATCCCAGTAACTACAACTCGCATATGTCAAGGTCTATTTTCCCCCAAGAGCGCCCTGGGCAAAATCAACTATACTGCGAATGCTTACTTTGCGTAATGGTTGAGCTGCCCCTGCCTGTGGCACTTGTCCTCTAAAAGATATCTAACAATTCTCTGCGGGGGATGGCTGGTCATGCGGGACAGGATTGTATATAAAAGTTGGCTACATTGCACTGCGTAGTAGCGGTAATGCAATAAAATGTGTTTCTGTTTCATTTCCTCCACAGGGGCATAGTCTTTGGGTGTAAGGAATTCGAGACAGTCTGCCTCTTAGCAACTCTGAGGGAAATACATTTACTCTCACCTTTGTAAAGAGTCTGCGATATTTAGTCACTGTAAGACTTTTTAGATATTCGCAAGACTTAAATGACTCCCTGATTGGTAAATTTAGAACTCTGGGGGAGCATGTGAATTTGAGTGGGCTCTAAGTTTTCCCAGGGCAATAACCCACAACCTTTGCTTCAGGGATTCTTGGACTGTTTTGAGTCCCAAAGGGAGCAAAAGGCATGTGGATAGTCCAATTGAGGCTGCTTTTCATTCAGTCCTCCATGCCCAAAAGGGGTTTGAAGGCTTCATAAAGGAGGCGATGTAGTAAACCTGTTCTCAGTTTGAAAACCATTGTTTTTAACCATAGGTTCATTTTCAGAGTCCAGGCCCTAGTACTCAGTGGGCATTCACCCGTTTCTAGAAGCAGGACCGCATTAGGCGCATAAGAAGGCACATTTAAAAGATATCTTATAAAGCTTGCTTGCACTCTATCTAGAATAAGAGTCGAGTTTTCAACCTATATGGCGTGTCTTTTCTGTGTGAACACAATGTAGTTGCAGTCTCCAAAGCATCTGCAATCAAAATGGACATGTCAAGTAGAAGTAGATTGGTGGTAGGGATTCCTGATATAATGCGAGATACATAGTTTGGCGATGTGATTGTGGGGAGGGACAAGATTTACGGCAGCAGTAGGTTTATCCCATATTGAACACCAAATTCACTATTTTCCCAGTTGAATGGTTAATTTGCTCCTGGTTTTAATCCATATGTTGAAAGAGCTATCCAAGGTACTGAACACACAGAAGAAACACAGCTGTTTTTTTTTTGTAGCATGGCTACAGTGACTATTCAAATGAATGTTTCAGTTTCATCATTGTGATAAAAATAGCAGATTCATCTTAAGCTTTCTTGCTTCCTATGTGAGTCAAGCCATATTTATTCATTTCATGTCAAAATCATTGCATAAATAAGTATAAAACTAATAAAATAGAGGAAGCACAAGTGGCTAAATAATTTTA